AATATTAATGATTAATAATTAATAATTAATAATTATTAACTATTAATTATAAATTTAAAAAAAAAGGAGCTAGTCCAAACTGCCTGCAGCGTTCAGATGCCTAACTATTTTCACCAAACAACATCTCCATCTCATCACGCTAAAAGTGCGCTCCATCTTCCCCACTACTGTTTCAAAACCTGATAATTCCCATTCAAAATTAATAAAAACAAAAGAAAAAAAAAAAAGAAAAAAAAAATGAAGATCAAAAGTTACCTCCAACCTCCAAAGATGGGATTTTTCAGATTTTGAACAACGGGACAAAGAAGAGGAAATGATCGTGAAGAACGATCCCCAAAAGATCATTATGCACATAACGAGATGTGTTTCGGATCTGGATTGGCGGTTTCTCTTTTTGGTTATCCCTCTCTTTTCACTTCTTGTTTTCTTCTCTCTGTCGTCTGCTCCAGTGGATTCCTTTCCTCCTTTCCAATCCTTCATTTTCAATTTCAATCGCTCTCTAGCCATCACTAACTCTTCCGTTTCCCCCACTGATCCGACCTTCCCGCGGCTGGTTCACTCGAAAAACGAGTTGAATCGGTCGAGGATCGCGGTGTGTTTGGTTGGCGGAGCGAGGCGGTTCGAGCTCACTGGTCCGTCGATTGTAGAGAGGATTCTGAATGTGTATCCCACTGCCGACCTTTTCCTGCACAGTCCAATGGATACGAATGCGTTCAAGTTCTCGCTCTTGAAGGTTGCGCCCAGGCTCGCGGCGATTCGAATCTTTGAGCCCAAGGCATTGCCGGAGACCGAGGCGCAGGTACGAGTCCTCACCGCAGAAAACTCGCCGAATGGCATTCAGGTAAATTTCTGAACTTCCGCACCAGTTTAATTTTACTAATAAGTTCATTTAATTACGGTAATTTCGAATTTAAGGTAGCCCGTCTCTTTTAGATTTTTTAATTATACAATAATATAATTATAATTTTATGATAGAATGTAAAATTATATTATGTATTATAAAAAAGAGTGTATTAATTTTAATTTTTTTAAAATTAAAATTTTAATATTAAATTAAATTATTTTATTTAATTAAAATTTAATTTTATTAAATATTAATATCTAAATTTAAAAATCAATTATATATTATTAATATATAATTGATTT